CGGGCGGGGCTCCTACCGTCCCCAGCAGCACATGAGAAGCAGCCCCCTCGGGGCCTCGCGCGTGGGCGGCCAGGTCCAGAGAGCCACAGCGCCTGGGGGCAGACTGGCCAGGGGAGCAGGCGCCGCCTTGCTGTGGGGCAGGGCAGGGCAGGGCAGGGCAGCGGGGCTGGCTTGAAGTGGGTGGGTGAGGAGGCGTGTGTGGGCTGGCAGTGCCAGTGGCTGCTGCTTGGCCTCCCACTGGGCCCCATGGGTGGAGCCACTCCCCTGGGCCCCATGGGGGTAAGCAGCTCCCCTCCCCTCGCTGCCAGCTGTGGCCCATGGGCCGGCCCTGCCCGCCCTGCTGCGGCCCCACCGCTGCCGCTGTGGCTCCATGCTCCTCGCCACTGCCGCAGCCCTGCACTCCACGGTGGCGGCTCCGTGCTCTGCCGCTGCTGCCATGGGCCAGATAAAATGGCTTTGTGGGCTGCATTGTGGCCTGCGGGCCGTATGTTGGACAAGCCTGCTTGTGTGTGAGTGTGTGTGTGTGTGTGTGTGCGCGCGCGCACGTGCGTGGAGTGACTTGTGAGAGACAGTTGTGCTTAGCTGTTTGGTTGTGAAACTGGTGTGCATGACACTTGATCACTCCTCATGGAGGATGAGTAGTGGTGCTGTACTACACCTACTACACTAACATCCCACCTGGCAGTGCCCGATGCCAACACTGCCAAGCAGCCTCATTCACCCTTAACCCTCCTGCCCACCAGAATACAAATTTATCTTCTAGTGGGTCCAGGTCTTTGGATTTGGCTCATTACACCCCTCCTTACCCTGTTTAAGATGGGGATCATGCTTCCCCATCTGGGACATCTCCTGTAGCCCTGAAGTCTTGGAAACCATCACTCTAACCTTTACTTGGTTTAGTTAGTTTTTTAAGTGCTCAGAGGCCCAGGGGATTTGAATTTGTCTAACTTATGTAAATATTTTATAATTGTTTTTTTCTGTATTCCAGACTGCAATTCTACCCCCTTGTTAAAATCCATTGTGTTAAGCATCTGCTCACAATTAACTGGGGTAGGAGAAGGGGAGGGAAAAGATGAAAAACTGGCATTCCCCCCACCCTACATCTGTGATTCAGCTCTTTCCAGGCTATCTCCACCCCATCAAGATAGTTTGAGGTCAGCACATTGGCTGCCTCACTTTGGGTTTCCAGAACCCCAGTTTGCTGACAGGACTAGGCCCCAAGGGAATCCATTTGTGCACGCAGGCATGAGTGGGTGTTTTTGAAATTTCAGGCATTGAGAGACAGAAGAGATTTTCCAAATATTGTTTATCTCCCCCTCAAGAGGATTCACTTGAACAAAGAGAAAGAAGCTTTCCCAAAGCTATGTCATGTCACCGTTGAACAGCAAGAACTTTGTTTCTTTCTGATTTGTGCAGTTTGGCCTATGAAAGCAGCTCAGCATTGCTGTCTTCAGAGCCCATAAACCACAGTGAACTGTTTAAAGCTGCAACAATCCAAAGAGGCTCCTAATGAGAAACCGGTGGTGATCTCTAGTCTAAATTGCTAACAGAAGCTAGCACTAAACTGCATGATATAACCCCCTTCTTCTCCCCCTCTGCCTCCATACCTCCACAAGTGTGTCCTCTCAGGAGGCAGCGAATGGACAAGCCGTCTTCTATCAGAACACAGGGATCCATGTAGCAAAGACTGGGAGCAAGGCCTGGATAACTGAGCAGCAAAAGCCTGGGAGTTTTTAAATGAAAGCCAACATGAACAAATGACCCTGATGGGATTCTGCCAGTGGCCTGGTCGGAGGAATTTAGGATGGCTGCAACTGGCAAAGGGTTGATCTGCATACCTGGCCGCATCTCACATCAGGGAATTATGACTGTCAGGAAGACAGGGTGAGAAAGGAGACCCTGCCTCCTCATTGATGCAGTATTCACCAAAGGGATGCCCTCAGCTGGACACAGAGAAAGACCTTGGAGGAAGATTTCAACCCAGCTGGCTCCTCCATGGGGAGCCAGCATGAAGACTCGTGCTTGATCCAGCACAGAGATTGAGAGCTCAGGCCCCCTCTACATGTGCAGGTAAAGGCGTGATGGGGTCTCATGCACAATTAACACAATTGCGTCTCCTGCTATGCCACACATACATGGCAGGAGGCATGATTGTGGGATTGTGCATTAGATCTCTTCATGCCATATTTCCAGTGCAGGGGGAATGTGATCCCGGGTTCCCCCTTTGCATTAGCAAGAAGCAGGTTCCCGCAGCTGGGAGCCCTATGCACCTCAGGTAAGGGGCTCCTAGCCATGATCCCTAGGGCTCTGGGGTGCGTGAAACCCGTGGACCTTGGGAATCATGACTACCATGATCCCTAGGGCTCAGGGCACTTCATGCTGGACATGGTGCACCCCTGCAGTTGGGAACCCTTTCAGCTGATGGGGCTCCCAGCCGCAGGCGAGACCCTGCTACACATGCAAAATAAAGCTTGATAGCAACCAACTTTAAAGGTAGTACACATTTTTGAGGTCTAAATTTATAGCTGGTTGGAGCTTTTTAAAATGCAATAGCTACTTTGCACACGTAACTGGTCTCCAGTTAATTGTGCAATACCTGTAAGGTGTCAAGAGGGGCCATAGTGACACTCGTGTGAACCTGCCTATAGTGGTACTCCTCTGCATTTATGCTGCCATAGGAGGGTGGAATGGGGCCAATGGCTCAGAAAGCTAAATACAGAATGGAAAACACACCTGGGCAAACAGAGGAGCAGGAGCAAAAGCGGGCAGGACAAAGAGTTCTCTTTAGCCTTGCCTGGCCATATGCTATTTGTCAAACTTCCAGCTGTGCTGGCTGTTGGCCTGAGCCAGTCATCATGTTTTGGTTCGCAACAGACCCACACTGGTACTTTTCATGGGAGAATCACAGCTTTCAGGCAAAAGAGAAGTTTAAAGGGGAACCAGCAGCCCCTGTCCCGTTGAGAGTAAGGAAGCCATGTTTTTATGGGAGACGTCCTCAGGCCCCAAGAGGATGTAACTTGTCTTTATACTGTGGTGTCTAGTGAGGGGTGAATAATGGTTGAGACTGAAAAAGGATGGTTTTAAGTCTACATCCCCAAACACAGAAATAACACCAGAGCTCAGCTGGGCAGTGAGAACTTCACCTGAAACAAAAGATGATGGCCTGCTGCTGGGAATGGACTAATGGACCAAGATGGAAAAAGAAGTCCAGGCTCTGTTGCACCTTTTCCTACAGGCTGCTGTTTTTAGTTCTCTCAGCAGCCTTTTACCTTTCAGTACTAGGTCTGAGGCCTCTCTGCCCATGTGAGATGTCAACACTCATGGCAATAGCACTGCTCAGCCTTCCTAGTCCAACATGGGGCAGAAAGCACAGTGAATCTCAGGGGGAAAGAGCTCTCATCTCACTTGGCCTTTCCAAACCTGGAAGCTTGCAAACCAGAGTCCAGTCACTTGAAGCATCTCTGAGGAAAGCCAGCCAGCAAGAAGGCACTCTTCTCCAGCTCTGGATTACAACCAGCTGGAAGTTCAGCAATTCAGACCAGAATCCCAAAACTGCAGCTGGCTCCTACCTGGATGCTGGGTGGACCCAGAGCACAAGGTACCTGAGCCTGAAAGATCCAGATTCAATCATGTAGCTAATGTTAATAAGAGGAACTGCCACCAGCCCCAGAGCTTACTAGGTAAGCAGGAGCCTTCTCACTGGCAGTGCAAACAGCTCAGGGCCATATTGGGATTTAGCCCTCTGCAGTGGAGCTCAGGGAAGCATGCTGTCAAGCTGGTACTTAAATATCCACGTGCACCTGTTGTTCCTCAGTTAGGAATCCTGGGATGGGTCTCCCACCCACAATTAAGCAAATGCTGGGAGTGATCACAGTAATCAGTGGCAGCTGCCAGCGCTGGCACTAGGTCTACTTCAAGCACATGCATGAAGCTTTTTTTTTTTTTTTTTGCCTCTGCTTTCTTATGTCTGCATTCTACACACCTCCGACTCGGACTGAGCTAAGCAAGTCCACAGGGGGCTGGCCATGATCTTGGCTCTGGTAGCTATTTTTTTTTATCATTATTTTCTCTCTCACTTTCACGAGAAAATTTTAGTAGTTATGGGTCAGCAGACAGCAGAGATCAAAGCCTGTGGGGCAATCCCAGAACAGGTGCGAGGCAGGGAAACTTCCTCACACAGCACCTGCACTGCTTATCAATGGACCTCTCTCTGTGCTTGAGTAAGAGAACTGTTGCTGGGGTGCTGGGTGACAGCAGGAGGGGAGAATGGGTTTTGTTCTTCCACACACAGTACTGTGGTGAAGCTCTGACCCCTCCAGGATATTCTTTGGAGTCCTGAAGCATCTAACCCAGATGTGCAAACTTGATAGTGGAAACAACAGTTCCTGAGTAGTTTTCTGCTGGAAAAGAAGCTATATCAGGTCTGTTGTAAACCTTGTGGCTTCCTTCCCAAGTTAGATACAAACAGTTTTCTATGGCCTTAGTTCAGCTGGACCTGAGCTGGAACCTGTATCCCATGGATTTTATACAATGGATGTAACTAACACTTGTAAAATGCCTTTGGGCTCTCCTGCATATGGACTTGGGTGGGCTGCTCAAGCACCAGAAACTCAAGTTATCACAAGAAAGTGTTTGTTACACTGCTTTGTATTGTAACAAACATGTATTGGTCAGGTCTTCTGCTGAGACAACTCATTCTCTTTGGCTGATTCAGTCTCTGGCTTTCTTCACTGAACCTGCCAGCAAGGGGCCCCAGTAGAGCTGAGTATGTTTCTAGTTTTCCATTGTGGGTACCAGTAAAGGGATTGGGACTCACTGTACAATTTCACAAACCCACTGGGGAGCTGCCAAATGGAAATGTCATCCAGATGCTACATTTCTAAGTCCAAGAACGCCTTCTGGTGCCCAGGTTAGGTGCTCCATGATCCATAACCTGACCCCCCATGAAGCTTCCAGTACCCCATCACCATACTTTGTGACAGGATTGCCTTCTCTGCACCTCAGTGAAAGTGGAGTAATGGGCAATTCATCTCCTGCCCAAACAAAGGGGCACAAGTGGCAGGTGATCGGGACCCAGCCTGGGTCACTGAACAGCCAAGTTCCGCCTGTTGTTTTTTTTTTTGCAGTAAAGTCACTTTGATTGAGTGGCCGTTGGGTCCTTGCAGGGGGATATCACATGCAGATTGGTGGATGGCATTCAGGACAGCTGTCATTGGCTAAGGGATATTTTGCACAATACGCCCCTTTCGCTCCTGGTGATTATAATTTTGGAAGGAGGCAGAGGGTGAGGAAGAGGTGTGGAAGAAGACAGGTCCCTTGATTGCTTTGGTAAGGCAACCCTGGAAAGGAATCCCAGAGAAACAGCTTCAGAGACCTTGGAGGAAAAGGAATGTTTCAGCACTGGCTCCATGCATACAGCAAGTGTCCTGGAAGGATGTGGATGACCATCATCCTGAGCTGTTTGCTCCATATCACGAGCACTTTAACCAAACTGTGAGTGATGCTAAAACTCCATTTCAGTAACATTCATCCAGGGAACAACTTAAATAGATGGACCATTGTTTTGTCCAGTGTGGTATCCCATATGCTGCTGTATCAGATTAAATTAGATCAGACCACTGGCCCACTGAATTTGGTATCTCACTTTTCATATTAGACTAGATCACTTATCTTGCACTTCTAGACTGTGATGATAGAGGCTGTAGTCTGGGGATGCTCCTTTACTTATACTATAGAGGTTGGGAATGGGAGAGATGATCCCTCAGTTAAACTAGTTAGGAGTTAAGTTAGTGAGAGAGAGATCCAGAGTCTTCAGATGTTGGATACAGTTCTATAAATTAAAGCATGTTGTTGTTTTTATTCACTGTATGCCTGTGTTTAAAGTGGTATAAACTGTGGGATTATAAAAAGGAACTTGAAAGAATTTGAGTTCCAAACTGAAATAGAAGTTGGAAAATGAAGGCAAGTGGCACAACTTGGGCACCTGGAAGGACAAGGGCCACCATAAGTCATCTGTCTGCATAGCTGCAGTCTAAGGACAAGTAGCCATGGAAGTTTTGCAACCACCACCTGCCCTTCTGCTGTCAGGCAACATAGCAGAGAACTGGAGGGCATTCAAACAGAAGTTTGAGTGGTACATAGCAGCCACAGAGACAAGAGAGAAAAATGGCAAGTCAGATCCTCAGTCTTGTTGCATATCGTGGGGGAAGAAGCCTTGGCTGTTTATGATACCTTCAACTTTGAAAAAGGTCAAAGAATGAAATGAAGCAAAATTCCATCCAAATTTGAGGAGTACTGCATGCAAAAAGATAATGAGATCCATGAAAGAGACAGATTTCTTATGTGCAAACAAACAGCAGAACAAAGTATAAACTGTTACTGGGTGAAAGAGACTTAGTAAGAATCATGCTTTTGGGAACTTGACAGAATCTCTGATTAGAGATAGGATTATTTGTGGAATTGCAAACACTGCTTTATGAGGAAAAAATACTGGATGAGGGAGGCTTGAGCCTAGAGAAGATGCAGGGGAGCAGAAACTGTGAAGTGCCAGGCTGCAAAGTTGAATGCACCAAAAAGGCAGTAGGCATGAAAACCTGTGAAAACACGTGGCCAGAAAAAGCCAACTCATCAGGCAGAATTTTCCATTAGCAAGAAACCATCTCAGAAGTACAGCCTCCAATGAAGTGAGCCTCAGCTCACAAAAGCTTGTGCTATATCTATACATTGGTGTGTACACACACGCGCACGCGCGCGCGCGCGCGCGCACACACACACACACACACACGTTAAGTCTGTAAGGCCCAAATCTACCATGCCTTGTATTTGACTTCAGACTAACTTGAATAACTACATCTCTAAGAAGCCACTTCACAGAGTGGAATTTTCCATTGGCAAGAAGAATGCAAAGGGAGAAAGAGCTTATAGGCCATGCAGCAGATGTCATAAGAAACATGGCCCCAAACATTGTGCTGCTTTTGGAAACCTCTGTTTTAACTGTGACAAGAACCATTTTGCGGAGTACTCCCAAATACAAACAACTTAAGCACATGCAGTTGAGAGCATACCAGAAAAAAATTATATAAATATGTCTGAATCAAGCAAATTCCATGAGAGAAACTAAATTATGCCAGTGGAAATACAGGAGACCCTCACCATTTGTGGGGGATACATTTTAGAGATACCCGCAAATGAGGAAATCTGTGAATACCGTACTGTGTTGTCTACGTTGAAAACTTGTTCGGGTTTGTGGGGGATAATCCCGCGCTGCTTCATGGTCTGCTGATGCCACTTCCCACATCAACTTCACATTACGTAGGCTGTGCCTCTTTTTAAATTTGTCGAACCACCCCTTACTTGCGGAGCACAGTAACAAAATGTCATCATGCTGCGCGGTGAGTGACCGTGGGTTGGTGCGGCGTACCATGAATATTTGAAACTGCGAATTGCAAATCCGCGAATAGCGAGGGTTTCCTGTACAAGGAATGATGGCTTCATTTAAGTTGGACACGAACTCAGACTAATATTTTACCCAAGAATATAGAAAATTAAAATTGAAACCAAAAGTGAGTCTAACAAACATCAGACTATCTGGCTATTCATAAACAAATATCCCAGTGAAAGGGAAATACACTGCTAGTGTTCGATATAAAAAAAAGAGTATACAAACTCTTATTCTTTGGAAGGAGGTGACACTCATTTTGGGTCTGGTAGCTTGTGAAAAACTGAATCTAGTTAAATATGTGTTTGCAGTACATGAAAACACAATGTTCATGCCGCCTGATGATGATCTTGGCTGTCATGGCCCAAATCCGGACAGTTTTCTTAGATAGAAACCAAGTGTTCCAGAACACAAGAAACAACCATGTCCTTGTGACAAGAAATGTACCTATGGACACAAATTCAGGTGCCATCACACAGATAGAGGAACTCAGCCTCAGCAGTCTGTGGCTAATGAATTTTGTGTTATGTGCAGAAGTACAGCTGCCAAACATTCAAGTCAGTTGGATACCAGTATAGGGATTCAAGTACATCAAGACTTGGAGAAGCTTCCCATCAAAACAAATCAGAAAGTGGATCTGATACTTTTTCAGAGAAGAAAATGAAGCCTCCAGAAAGACTAATAGAGATTTGATAAAAGAGCTGCAGAAAAGGGGGAACAGGAAAGTGACAAGTAAAGACTCACTTCAGTGACAAGCTAATAACTTGTCCTCTGTTGATGGGTGTTAATTTATTTTTGTATTGTGAGTTTTGTACGTTTTGTTAAAAGGGACGATGTAGTGATAGAGGTTGTAGTTTGGAGATACTCTCTTACTTATACTATGGAGGTAGGGAATTGGAAGATGGTTCCTCAGTTAAGCTAGTTAAGAGTTAAGTTAGTGAGAGATAAACCCAGGGTCTGCAGATGTTGCAAATAGCTCCATGAATCATCTAGGCAATGGAATAATCAATCCCTTTTGAGGAATCCCCATTGCTTTTGAGCATTGAGCTTACTATTAGGGCTGTGCAAAACATCATTATTTCATTTTGACGTCCATTTCACCGTTTTGAAGGGACAGTGCTTCATTTTGTCATTTTGTTTAGTTTTGAAGCACAGTCCCGTTTCATTTCATCGAAACTGTTTCACTGTTTTGACTAGTTTTTTTTGATGTTTCACCCATGGGCTATAATGGGGAATCATGAAAATTCCTAAAACGTTGTCATTTCTTGCCTTATTCAGATGCAAATTGCTGGGATGGTAGCCCCTTCTGAGGGGATGAAGCCTGCCAAGTTTCAAGGAGATAGATGCAGAGTTTTTTTCAGAAACTGCACCTCAAAGTCCTGAAAGCAAAATTTGCCGGCAGTGGCAGCCTCCTGTCATCCGGCACGCAGATCTGGGGATTTGCACCCCCGGGAGAGGTATGGGGCTGTGCTGGACTCTTCCTGGGGGTGTGGGCCCTCTGATCTGTGCTGGATGACAGGAGGCTGCTGCCTGGGACTGGTGCTGGGTGCAGTCTGTGCCCAGCGCCGGAGAAGACAGATGCTGCTGCTGGCCACAAGCAGCAGCAGCAGCCTCCTGTCATCTGGGCACAAATCCGGGGGCCTGCATCCCCAGGAGGGCTGCAGGGCTGTACCGGACTCCTCCCGGGGGTGCGGACCCACGGATCTGCGCCCTGGATGAGAGGGGGCTGCCCTGTCATCTGGGACCAGCGCTGGGCGCGGGCTGAGCCCAGTATCAGAGAAAATTGCTGCTGCCACCTGTCCCAGGCAGCAGTGGGACCCTCCCCTCATCCTGCATGCAGACCCGGGGCTTGCAATCTTGTCCGTTGCTGGGTGCAGCCCATGCCCAGTGCCGGTCCCAGGTGGGAGAGGCAGCCTGAGCCTCCTTTCATCTGGGGCGCAGATCCGGGGGCTTGCACCCCTGGGAGGGCTGCCAAGCTGTGCCAGACCCCGACCCCTGGGGGTGCGGGCTCCTGGATCTACTGCTGCCACCTGGGACTGGCGCTGGGCACAACCCATGCCCAGCACCGGGCTCCATGGAGCTCAGCCCAGCAGCAGGAGGTGGAGCGCAGCCCTGGCTCTGCCCGTCTCTTGCCGCCAGGCTGCGCTCTGATCAGCTCTGCCAGCCCCACAGAGCACAGCCCGGTGGTGGGAGATGGGCAGAGCCGGCGCCACACTCTGCCTTCCACCACTGGGCTGAGCTCCATGGGGTTGGTGGAGTGAATTGGAGTGAAGTGCTGGCTCGGTCTGCTTCCTGCCGCCAGGCTGCGCTCCGATCAGCTCCACCAGACCCATGGAGCTCAGCTTGGCAGCGGAAGGTGGACAGAGCTGGCGCTGCGCTCTGCTTCCCACCCCTGGGCTGAACTCCATGGGGCTGGTGGAGCC